CTCCTCCTCCTCCTCCTCCTCCTCCACCCACAGATCGCCGAACAAACCACCCGGTTCTTGGACATCATGCTCACCATCGGAGTCGAACGTGTGCATAATGTTCTGCAACTCGATGCTGCGGCAGCAGCCCCGGCCATTATGGACTCCTCATCCATGTTGGGCGTGGCCTTCTCGTCGGCGCGGCCTTCTCGTGAGTGTGTGTGTAGATGTGTTCGTGTGTTCTTGTGTTGTTGGGGGTGTTTGTGTGCGTTGGCGGCGTATGTGCCGAAAACGCGGCGCTACTTGCCTTTTCCGCCGCCCGAACAATTTCGCGACCTGCCCCATTTCAAAATGTTTGTCAAACATTTTGTCAACCGAGCGACTTTTGCCCCATTTCAAAATCTTGAGAATATTTTGCCGAAGATTTTCTCCCGTAAAAAGTGAAACAAAATCTTTATCCGCAAATAGTAATGTTTGAAAATTTAGATATTTTTCAAAGATTTGGTGACCATAAACATGGGCCTCAGCTAAAGAAGAAAAAAAAACGTTGAAAAATTACCCGGCTTGTGCTGCTGCTGCCGCTGATTGTTTGAACAGGACGCTTCCGCCACCGCTTTAGATAACAGCAACAGCAGCAGCAGCAGAGGCGACACACCCTCTCGCCCACAATGAGTGTAGAGAGGTGCACAGCACAGCAGTGGTACTACATCGTCTAGGAACGAGCGTGATGTGTTACTGGTCCCGTGCTGTGATGTATGTGTGCCTCTCTCCAGAGCAGAGTCAGAGGCCGCTCCCTCCCGCCGCGTCGCAACACAATAACAACAACCAACCGATGGACCCACAGAGACCCAATCAATATCTCTCCTCTCGCTTCCTCCGCCGAAAGCTAGCAGCAGCAGTAGTATAGGGCACACCCTGCTCCCGTCCCGCTCTCGCTGTGTGGTGTGTGCAACACACGCTGGTTGGTGGGACTCCCTCTCTCTTCATAGAAAAAAAGGCGAAAGAAAGGCCGGCAGCGTTGTTGAACAACAACAACCAAACAATGGAAACAACAACATCAACATCACCAGCGATGAACCCCAGACCAACCAAACGTTCCCCGCTTCCTCCGCCGTCGCCAACAGCAGTATGTGTGTGTGTCCCGCCCCCCTTGTCCATGTTCCCTGTCTCTGTGTAGTGCGTGTCTTGCCAGTAGCAGCAGCAGTGTGTGCAGCACGGCAGTGCGTCGTGGTTTCTTGCGTGCGTGTAGTTTGTTGCCCAGAGAAAAACAAAAATGACGACGCCTCCTGGGGATGCGTCCATTTGACATATATATTTGCACAAACGGTGTGCTATCTCGAGACACCGACCACGGATTGCAAAGGTAGCGGTTGGGACAGCTCGGGCAAAATATTACTTGTTGTGCGCAAGTTTTAGTTTGCAATTTGGTGCCGAGATGGTGAAATGGGCTCGAGTCTGCTGGGTTATTTAGGGCGCGCAGACAGACAGACAGACAGACAGACAGCCATGGCTAAATTTTCACGCCCCTGTGCATGAGAACTAGCCTTTTTCTCGTGCGCACATACCCCACACACAATCCCTCTAAACAGCAATTTTTTTGCAAAACAAATCAAAAAGCGTACCCCCAACGGGCCACACTTTTTCAAAAAAATAACTATTACTAGAGTTGGAGGTGGAATAGTTTTTTGTGGTGGTTGCACAAAAGTGCCTGCAGTAGGCTCGTGCGTCTGTTACATACAGAAGAGCTGGGGGCGAGAGGGGGGTGGCATCCATCATCATTCGCTAGAGGGGGGGGGGGTCCATTGTCAGCTAGCGAGGGGGGTGGTATCCATCATCATTCGCTAGAGGGGGGGGGGGTCCATTGTCAGCTAGCGAGGGGGGTGGTATTCATCGTCAGCCGTGAGGGGGGGGTGCTATCATCAGAGGGGGGGGAGTGTCATCCATCGTCATCAGCTAGAAAAAAGAATGAAAAAAAGTTGAAAAATCCCCGGCTTGTGCTGCTGCTGCTGCTGCTGCTGATTGTTTGAACGGGACGCTTCCGCCACCGCGTAGATAACAGCAACAGCAGCAGCAGCAGAGGCGACACACCCTCTCGCCCACAATGAGTGTAGAGAGGTGCACAGCACAGCAGTGGTACTACATCGTCTAGGAACGAGCGTGATGTGTTACTGGTCCCGTGCTGTGATGTATGTGTGCCTCTCTCCAGAGCAGAGTCAGAGGCCGCTCCCTCCCGCCGCGTCGCAACACAATAACAACAACCAACCGATGGACCCACAGACACCCAATCAAACATCTCTCCTCTCGCTTCCTCCGCCAAAAGCTAGCAGCAGCAGTAGTATAGGGCACACCCTGCTCCCGTCCCGCTCTCAGGTGGTGTCCATCATCAGCTAGCGAGGGGGGTGGTATCCATCGTCACCAGCTAGAGAGGGAGGGGCGTGCTATCCATCGTCATTAGCCAGAGAGGAAGAAAAAAACGTTGGAAAATTCCCCGGCTAGTACTAAGTGCTGCTGCTTGCTGCTGATTGTTTGAACAGGACGCTTCCGCCACCGCTTTAGATAACAGCAACAGCAGCAGCAGCAGTGGCGACACACCCTCTCGCCCACAATGAGTGTAACGAGGTGCACAGCACAGTAGCAGTACTACATCGTCTAGGGACGAGCGTGATGTGTTACTGGTCCCGTGCTGTGATGTATGTGTGCCTCTCTCCAGAGCAGAGTCAGAGGCCGCTCCCTCCCGCCGCGTCGCAACACAATAACAACAACCAACCGATGGACCCACAGAGACCCAATCAATATCTCTCCTCTCGCTTCCTCCGCCGAAAGCTAGCAGCAGCAGTAGTATAGGGCACACCCTGCTCCCGTCCCGCTCTCGCTGTGTGGTGTGTGCAACACACGCTGGTTGGTGGGACTCCCTCTATCCAAAGAAAAAAAAAACGGGAAAAACGCCGGCTGCGTTGAG